GGGCCCAGCCGCTCCGCGGCATGTGGGATCTTCCCGGACCGGGGCACGAACCCGTGTCCCCTGCATCGGCAGGCGGACCCCCAACCACTGCGCCACCAGGGAAGCCCAAGCCAGGTTTTCTTAAACCTCCATGCCATCCTGCCTCTCAAATGGGAGGGAGAGGTTGAGCATGGCGGTGTAGGGCCTGGAGAGAGAGGGAGCCTAACACTGTAGCAGAAGAGATCATCAACAAACAAATAAATAGAAGTACAAGGTCATGGACGAGAGGTTACCAAGAGCCTTTCAGAATGCCACGAATGTTCAACTAACTTGATCTGGGCCGTGGTCCCATAAGTGTATACACGTGTTAAAGTTCACCAAGCCGAACGCTGAATGTAAGATTTTAAGTATACCACAAAACGGTAAAGAATGGCAGATGGTAGGAGACGCTTTCTCACTGTGGGAGTGAGAAATTACAGATCAGTAAGGGGAGAAGGCCGGAATGATCTATGTGGTAATGGATCAGAACTGGAGACAAGTGTATGAAGTCAATTTAACAGAGATGCAGATAGAAATGTTTATAGATGTGTATACATGTGGGTTCCTATACACATATATATGTTTCTTTGCTCTGTCAGCTGACAGAACCTAGAAGCAAAGACACCTCAGCAGCAATGAGCACATCCAGCGCCCAGATCTTGGTCTCTAAGGCCATTCTCCAATAACAACCAGGGGCCTCGGGGAAAATATACAAGATGAGCCTAGATCCTGCAGTGCCAGAAATTAAGAAAGTGTTCAATCAATCAATCAACCGACAATGACGTCAAAGGGACACAGGAGCCGACTGAAAGTGCTCCCAGTGGCCAAAGCTAGAACCATTTGAGCAACAAAATAATACAAAACCCAAAGTATGAAACAGTAGTCCTTGCTGATATAAATAAACGGTTGAACAACTAAATGGGAGAAACAAGACAAATCTCCCATATAGAACAACATGAAATAATTTATGCAGATACTCTGGCCTTCAGAAGCTGGAGCATGGCTCCCCACACTTCGTAAGTGTGGGCCGGGCACCGTGACTTCCTTCCAAAGAGGAAGGGGAGAAACCTGACAAACGCTCCCTTGGCCAACTGATCAAGGCCAACACCACCAGTGATAAATCATGTTCATAATATATACCCTTGATATGACGTGACGGAAACGGCCCTTTAAGGTCTTCCTCTCAAAAACCCGTAATTCCGGCCTACTCCAATCCAACCATGAGAAAAACATCAGATAAACCCCAAATGAGGGTCATCCTACAAAACACCTGAGCAGTTTTCCTCTAAACTAGGAAGGCCATCGAAAACAAGGAAAAGTCTAACAAACTGGCACAGCCAAGAGGATTCTAAGGAGACACGACAGCTAAATGTCATGTGGGCTCCTGGATGGGGTGCTGGAAGAGAAAAGGGATCTTAGTGGAAAAACTAAGGAAACCTGAACAAAGCATCAACTTTAGTTGGTAGTAACACACCGATTCATTAATTGTGACAAATGGACCAGACCAATGTATGGTGTTAATGACAGGGCAAGAACTGTAGCTGTGTGTGTGTGTGTAACTACGTGTGTGTGCGTCGGGGGGTGGTACGGGAACACTCTGCAGTAGCTTCACAACTTACCTGGAAATCTAAATCTAAAACTGCTCTAAAATTAGAAGTTTATTTTTAAAAACATAACAGAAAATGACGGAATGGCTCCTGTGGACAGGGTGGCCGCTGAAGGCCTCCCTCAGGAGCTGACATCTGAGAAGAAGCTGAGACGAGAACCAGGCAGCAGGACCCAGGGCGGCGTTCCGCGTTCCCGGCAAAGGGCCCCCAGGAGAGGACAGAGGGGAGGGAGGCTGGGGAGCTCAAGTGGGGTCAGGTGCGCAGAGTGTCTGTCACAAGGTAAACAAAAGTGAAGGAAGCTGAAGGGGTCAGGCCAAGGCAGGTTGGTCACAGTCACTTCAGACTGGAGCCTGAGGGCGCTGGAAGGTCAGTGGAGGGACTCAGCAAGATGAGATGTACCTGATGGAGTGTTTTTCCAAGATCGCCCTGCCTGCTGTCGGGAGAGGATGCGGTGGGGCGGATAAGGGATTATGATGACCCCAGAGTGGTCACACCTCGGACGGCCCAGACACAGAAGGTGAAGGGCTAGGAGCACCTGGGGGTCTGAAAGAAGACAAGAAGCCGGGTCTCCACGCTCAAGGGGAAGAGAAGAGGAGTCTCCACACGCAGAGAAAAGGGCCTGAGCTGAACAGGCCTCCTGCTCTGGCTGACGGTCCCGGATTCTGACCCTTTTGGAGAAGTCTCCACAACGGGGCTCCAGGGCCTTCCAGGCACCGAGGGCTCAGGAAAGAAGCACCTCCTTGGAGTCCGAGCCTCAGTTCAGTTCGAGCCCATCCTACACTTTCTACCTGGGAGACATTACCACTCGGAGTCTCGGTTCCCTCAACAGCAAAATGGGAACACCACCTCCCATCTCTTGCCAGGTAAGAAAAGGCTCCTGGACCCTACAAGCACAGCCTTCATTAAATGCCAGAGCAAGTATTACTTTTACAAGAGTAAGCCCAAGGTGGAAGGAACCTTAGAATCTCATCTGACAGCCCATTTTACAGATAAGAAAACAGGGGCAGAGCCAGAACGTGTCCAAGTGAGCGGCAGAGCAAGGACCGCAAGCCCGGCTCCCAGCTCTCATTCTCTAGGCTCCCTTCTCCACGCTCAATTCTGACCCCAAAGTGGGGGGACTGAGACAGGCTTCCCCATCAGCAACTGTCTCCAAACACCTCTTTTCAGACTCCCCTGGGGCTCCCCTCGCCATCAGAGGTGCTGCGGGCCCAGCCTGGGCAGGGGGGTGGGGATGGGGGTCTGGTGAAGGGGAGCAGCCCTCCGACTGGGCCCCCCCCCCCCCCCAGGCACCGACCACCCACCCGGACAGCTTGGCCTGTCCACCTGAGGGGCCTCCCCTCCTCTCTGAACCAGGCCCAGGCCCCCATCAGGCAAGTCAGGCAGCAACAACGGCCAGCCCCTGCTTCCCAGGTCGCCATGCCACCACCCTCTGACCCTCGTCTTTGCCCACAGCGACACGCTGTCTTATCAAAATCCTCAAAAAGCTCTTGGGCTGGATTGGAGTCTTCCTGGCCGAGTCTGTATTCACCCTCTGTCTAGTCCTTCCCGCCTCCCCCCCAGACCCCAGCACAGGTACTCAGCGACTTGTTGAAAGAATACCACCGAGGTACAACAACTAAGTTTGGAGATGCGCATTTTCATCAACCAAAGAGGTGAGAAATGTTCCTGCAGCTCATTTCTAAAAGCACCCTGAAGGCAAAATGTGAATAACTGCTTCCTTGTGGGAAACCTCGTGAAATCTCACACAGACCAATCAGAAAGTACCAATGACTCAATTAGAAGATCCTTGAAGAGCTCTAACACAGGATTCTGAATAGAAGCACATACCATGTTTACTCTGATTTGCACAATTCTGTCCTACACGCAAACACTGGCCCCAGCATTCCACCTTTAATCTAATGTTTCCCTTTAATCTCTAACCAAGACCAACGTTTACCAAGGAAGTGGGTCACCTTCGTTCCACCTCTGCGATTCCAAAGAGGCCTGTTACTGAAATCAGAAACCTAGCAGCGGCTGGAGACTCCAGTTGCTTCTAGAACATGCTTTATTTAAATTGATTCCCGAAAGTCACCCTGCAGAGAGCTAGCCAGCCGCCCTCCGTCATGACACTCACATGTAAAATTTACTGTCGGGACAATTTCCGACAGGTCAGAACACCTACACAGACACGCCAAGGGAAAGCAAATCAAAAGATTTCTGTATAAATGAGGTTCATCCGTCAAAGGTGCCAACCTCTCAAAATCGGAGGAGTGTTAGAGCCTCGACTCGTAAGCCACACTTCACTGCACTGAAACAACAAGAAAAAGAAATTCCAATTTCCTCCTGTGCTCTGGATAGATAATACGAGATTTTTACTTACCTTTGGAGCGAGTAGAGATATCCATGCCCTCCACCACCTCCTGTTCTGTTTTTATTTCCTCTTCAGCCAAGCTGAAACAGAGCAAATTACGTTCACGTTTAGGTAGACTAAGAACTTGCCCCATGGGGGCGGTTATTTAGAAGTTCTAACAACAAACCCACATTTTTCAGACAATCTTCCAAGGGTAGGGGGAAAGGAACCCACACCCTGATATCAAACAAAGTGTTAAGAGTCCTATAGGAGTGTTTTTAAACACTAGCTTGTTCTTGAAGTCGAATTACTATTCCAGTTGTCATGCTATTGGAAGATGCAAAAGGCTTTTTTAAGACACACAATTACCATCTACCCCCATGGACCAATGAAACCCCAGCCTTCAAGTAAATCAGTTTCTCATTGTTAACACTGGGTTCAGGTTGGAGGTGGTTTTCGGGGTACCTGGAGTTCAGATCTCTGAATTCTGCAAGGCAAAGAGTATTTTCCCAGACCTCCTGGCGAAATCTTACTATTTCCCGACAAGGCAGGAACATGAAAAAATATATAGGTTAAAGCTACAAAGTAGAAAAATATGCCCAGGCTAGAAGCAAAAGGCCTGGTCTCAAAACATTCAAACCACCAGCACTTAGCCCAGGAATTAGGACTGGGGTCTCCACACTCCCAACCCCTGGGATATTTTCCTCCCTGTAGCAGGCATGGCTTAGAGAAAGCATTCAGCACTCTTTTGAGCTATGACTAATTACCCCCACCACAAAAGTGGAATGAGGAAGGATTATTTAAAAGACAGGATGAGAGTTGGGGGTTGCGATAAGAAGCAGGGAAAGCAGGCCCCTCCTCTGGTGGGCCAGCCACCAGAATCTTCTTTCGCTCTCTCGGCTGGAACTCCCCACTGAACAGGGTACAGGCCATTCCCTATATTCCCCACGGACATACACACACCTCTCAGGCCAAGCCAGGAAAAGTTCTGCTTTTCTAAGTGCCAACAGTTTGAGGTGCTGGAACTTTCCAGGCATTAGGCTGACGACGAAGTGATAAGAACCTGAGCAATTATTCTAGATGCAATTCCATCGGACTGTGGTTCAACAAGAAGAAATGGGGTGCATCTCCAACTGAGATGGCTGAAATCTTCCACCTGGAAGACTCAAAAACCAGGACAGAGGGGATGCTGCGTAAGGCAGGAAGGATTAGAATGTCCCTTCTGTGTTTCGTGGTCTGGGACTGTGACGAGACAAAAGGTAAGTCCCAAAAGTCCTGGAACCTCAGGGTCAGATGGAGCTGCATTTAGGAGAGTTCCGTATTTGATGGGACTAGATAGAAAGGAAGAGATGAGAGCTGAGAATTAAGTTAGAAGAACTTAAAGGCCTCCAACTTCACTGGTCCCAGCAGAGAGAAGAAACAGAAAGGCAGTGTGCTTTTAAATCAGAATGTTAACACATTTAGGTCTCTGATATTGAACCCCGTTGACAATTTCATCCACACTGCCTTTGTAGAGAAAGCCTGGGACACAAATCACCAAAGAAACAACAGACATGTTGTCACAAATGGTTTTCATCAGAAGACATTGCTTCTGAAATTTAAACATGTCGCTAACGTGCACTAATACAACCGTGATTTGTGGCAGGTGATTTTAGCACTGATACTTTTTACTCCAACTTAAGAGGCAAACAAGCTCAACTCAGAAACACACCCTGCCTGCAACTTACCCAGACTGTCCAAATGGATACCGCTGATGGTTTTTTGCTTGGGGTGACTGGAAATAAATTTTAACAGAAAGCCCCATGAGGCCCCTTCAAAGAGGGGGAGATGGTCAGCTTCAAAAGAACAAACAGCAACCCTGATCTTTCCAGCAACTAGAATTCTGCTCCCCTCTCTAGCATGAAGTATGTGAAACCCTAAACTTCTTGAAACCGATCCCATATTTTGAGTGATGGAGAAAACGCTAATCTGGGATCCAACCAAAATGTTTGGTAGTGAAAAGAAACAATTATGCATTACAGACTCCCCCAAACCCACTTGAAGGATTTCTGCAGCGCTGAAAACATTCAAAGGTGTATAGATCATGGAGTTGGGCTGCATTCAAGAGAACAATTATATGGCTTGTAACAGCCTAGAGGAGGCTGAATACTTCAGGCAGGAAAGCTGCTGAGAGGCTAAGAAAATGCAAACTAGCGATGGGGTAGCTATACGCTGCTGAGTTTAAGATAATTCTGGAGCAGAAAAGAGGGAAAAGAAAGTTAAGCTGTTTTATCTTTCCAAGTATTACAAAGCGGGCACCATAATCACCTAACTTTAGCAATAGCACCACCAGGATTTAGCCAAGGATTTGAAGGACAACAATTTCAGAAAACCATCTTTTTCACAGATCAGCAAGCCACCCTTTCAAAGGGAACCCATGCATGCACATGCATGCACACATACACACACACACACTAACTTGTATTTGACTAAAGGAAATTGCAATGTCTATGCATCTAGAGGAAAAAAATTTTTTAAAACTTCATTTACAAAAGCAAAGACCAGAATGCAAAATTAGTCATTTTGAATAGCCACATCTAAAGGGACTTCCTCTTTTCTACACCACTGATCTCATTTTTTTTTTTCTTTTCTGGTTTAGTGTTAAGTACTAGTATGTTATTAGGGGGAAAAAAAAAACTATGAATATTACATCAAAAGTGGTGGTGAGAAAAGATTTGTACCTGTCTGAATGCCCCACAGATCTTGGTCAATTTAGGTTAAGAACTGTTCAGTCATTTGGAGGGAAAAAAAAAGTCAAATAATAATTGTTAAAAAGAAAAAGCAGCTGCGTCTGAAGAAAAGACTTTGAACTCTCTCATTAACACATTAAAGTCTATTAGAAAATACACAGCATTTTTCCTTCCATATCTGCTAGCTTCCAGCAACCCCAATTATTTAAATCCAAAACAATGGAACAAGCAGCCCTTGTTTCAAACTGACATTACTTTTTTTTTTTTTTAAGGTCAGCTGGGGAGTCTGGGGCCCGCTAAAGGAAAGGGTAAAATTAGCTAAAAAATCTCACCCCAACAGGACAATACACCATCAACTAGTTGTATACGTTGTATGTTCCCACCACCGTCACCTCTTGCACTCACGGGTTCCCCTAAGTCACTTGCCCCTGGATTTCACAAACTGATACATTTCAGGCAATTAAAGAAGAAATAACAGGCGCCCGCCTGCACATACAACCAAGACCATCCCATCCCGTCCCAGAAAGAAGAAAAGATTTCTCCCCCAATGCCTGAGCAAGAAAACCTCTGCTTACTTCTTCACCTGCATGCACTGGAAAAGAGCAATTAAAAGTTGCACATGAACTGCACCTCCAGGATGTTTTAAGCCTTCTGATTTTTAATTCTGAAGACTCAAGGCTGGTCCGTAAATTCCCAGGAATCCCATCCCCTCAACACTTCCAGGAGAGAGAGAAAAGAGAAAACATCTAGTTTGGACACAAAACTGCCTGGAAACACAATGCCCAGATATTTCTTTTCCCCAAGTGCCCCTACTTGACTGTTAACCAAGAATATCTAACCCCTCTAGAATATATAACCAGCATGCACAAGAGTCTGGGTCTACAGCTGAGGATGTTCACACAGCAATTCAAGAATCATGCAATCATTCAAAAGGACTTTTCCTTCAGCTTTTTACTTTCATTCAAAATACCAAAGTGGTCCAGGCTGTAAGAAATATTTCATCCCCAAGACACAAACATCTTTCCTCTTCTAGATCACAAAATAGTGAACATTAAAATCAAAACACCATGCTGCCCTAAATCTGCAATTAATTTCTTTAAAAATTGGGGGGAGGGGAGGGAATGGTTAGCAGCTTTATATAAGCACTCACCTAAAACAGGCAGAGTCATCGGTAGCTAAGCTATTTATGCAGGATTCTTAAAATGGCGTCTGGCAACACTGCCTCATTCCTGTATTGAAGCTAAAATGGTAGCAGTTTGTTCAATAGCTGTAGCTCTTGCTTAAGCAGCCCTGCTAGTTTCAAAGCCACCTTCCTAAATATCAGAACTAGGAAAAGCTCAACCAAAGGACACCAACAACCCAACGTTTAGAAGCTGGAAAAAAAAAAAAATCTGCAGTGACAGGGGGAGTTTGTTAAGTCACAGGTTCCTAAGGAAAACCCTTCCCTTTCAGATCCTGAGCCTTCAACGTGAGGCTCTAAAATGAGGCCCCCTTGCCCTCGAATTAGGTGGGTGGAAGGTGAGGAATTAGGCAGCCCTGTGGCATAAAGTGCAGACAGACAGGTGTCTGTGCAAACAACCAAACTGTTAAAAGGGTGCAGGCTGCGGGGGGGGGGGAGGAAGCCCATTCCCCCTTTCTAGTAGATGAGAAACCAGCTCTGCATCCCTACCAAAGAGTAGCTAGGGAAAATGAAAAGTGCTTCCAGGGCAGCAGGCATCTGAAGGGCTGCACCCCAGCCTGAGGCCAAAGTCAAATAAAAAGGCTGTTTAATAAGCCTGAAAACGGCCACCAAACACCCAGCCAGTCCTAAGACAGTTAACCTCCAGGAAAGATAATCCGAGTCTGCAGAGAAGAAACAACAGGAAAACGTCACCCTCGGCCAAGGCGCAGGATACTCACAAATTAGATTTTTGTCCACCCCCAACAGAGCCCTCAAAATTAACCATGGGTTTGGCAAAACCCGCTTTCACAGGCCAAGCTAAGAGCCTCATAGTGGATAATGTAATTTACTGTTACAGGTCTGCATGGTGCAGCAGAACTCTCCTGGTGCTGCGGGTGGAGAGTTTCAAGGTGACTGTGAGCTTCAGGAGAGAAAGGAGGGCAGAGTGCCCAAGGCTGCACCAGGGCAAGGACGGGCGTCTGGCTCCCGGCCGGCCAGTAGGTAGGTAATCTTGATGACGAGGGACAGGCTGGCAGCCCAGCTTGCTGCAGTGCTGAAATGGCTCCTGCCTGTTTATCAGTAAGCAGAGTGGGGTGGAGGGGGAAGGGCGTCCATAGCCTTAGCAACCTGAAGCCAAGGGTGAATCCTTCCTTGTTTCTGCCTCTGAGATCAAGAGCAGGGCTGCTACACAGATTCCCTTCCTCCTCCTCGGCTGTGCGGTGGCCAAGGCACTTTTGCACGTATCTTTCTTTTCAGGGTCAAACCAGAGGCAAAGCCAGACCTAGGGCTTCCCAGCTGAAAAATGTTTGTGGCCTCTGCCCAGGAGAGAGAAGGGGGGGAAAAGGAGGCAAAAGAAACAAAGAGATCACACATGTGAAGTGGCTGGACTTTGGAAAAAAAGAAAAACCTACCTTTGCCTTCAGGGTTTTCTGGGCTGCTGTCACCCCCTCCCCTTTTTGAAATGGTGACTCATTTCCCCCCCCCTCCTATTTAAGACCTGAAGCCATTTCCCCACTGTTCTCCCGGGGAAAGAAAAGGGGGAATGTTTTGTTTAAAAGAAAAGGGGTAACAAGAAAGAAAGAAAGGAAAAGAAAAAAAAAAAAGCTATTGTTTTCATCCCTAATTTATAATCCAGGAGGCCCCATTGTTTCTTTCTTTCTGACTCAAATCTTTGAGCTGTTAATTATAAAAGTAACTGGACTCAGCTCCAGAAGGCAAACCACGTTCCTGAGCAGCAATTAGAAAAACTCTGTAGAAAGTTTACTGAGTGATTATATATAATTAATTCCTAGTTACAGCCGGAACACTGACCATTTTCTGGCGCTAATAAAAGCAGTTCCTCCTGCTGCCCCACAGGAATGCCACTTAATTTCCCAAAGCAGAAAGTGAACCCATCCTGGAGGGGCTTCAAGGAAAAAAAAAAAAAAAAAAAAAAGGAGAGGAATCAAAAGCTCCAGTGTGTCTGTGTTTGTTCCTTGCAGCTGTGCATCCTCTTTGGGGGCTGAAGAGGCAGAAGGAAAAAGGAAAACAGCCCAATGTTCTGTTCCTCCCTCTGCAATTTACAAACGTGGCAGAGAGAGGACCATCTACCTTGATGTAAAAAAGAAAGGGGGGGAGGGGAGATGCCCTAGGCATGGAACGTAGGGAGACACTTCAGCTCCACGGATGTGCTTTTCCTAAAAGGAACAAAGATGGTAGAAATTTCCAGAAGGCCCGCTCTCGGTCCAGCCACTGCAATTGTCAATCTGTAACCTTTTCTCCAAGTCTATTGGTTCAAAAGCTGGAGAGAGAAACCCCATTGGGCTGCACCGTGAGCCTGCACTGCTGTCCCTAGCTAGTCCTGCTGCAATGCAGACATTTATTTTTTTTCCCCCTGAGTGAAACTGGAAAACAATGCTACCTTGAGAGCCATTAACTTTTACAGACTCATGTTTGGTGGTGCCCCCAGGACCACAGGCAAGTGGCTGGCTTGCTCCAGGGCTGAGAACTTGCTGGGGCTGCACATGTGAAAACAGATCTTGGCTTTGCAAACCTGTGGGAGCCATTTTAATGCAAGCTTTTGGAGGACAAATGCCTTGCCCTTAGGTTTCCTTCCAGCCCAACAAATGCACCATTATGCAAACACTGACAGCACCAAAGCAGGAGTCTTGTGATTAGATATTGCTTCCAAGGAGGCCACAAGAACCTCAATATGTAATTTCCATTTACAGCCAGGAGATAAGAACAAAGAAACAAAGCTAAGCCTCTGAACTTTCTTGTGTGGGGTAGTAGCAGGCAAGCAGTTCAGTTCTAAGTATGTTACATCATTAACGGCCTGTCCTTATACTCTTAAGAAGCTGGCCTGTCTTGCAAAGACTTCTCAGCTTAGAATTGGGTACATTCCTCATTATTAAATGAGCCCTTTTTCCAATTGGTTCTCAAAGGTGGGTTGCTGGACACCAGTTTAAAAGAAGAAAGATTACTGACTCCATCAAGTTGGCATAACACAGCAACTGAATATACTTCCAGCATTTACAGTCCTGCTGTATTGGTCTCCAGGCTGGAAATTTATGCAGTGAACTTCTAGGGAAATGCTGAAGCAAATGCTAAACAAGAAGCTACTTTTTTCACTCTGAAGTTCTAGCTGCAGCCTTAAGAGATCAGGAGAAATGTAAAAAGTGAGAAATAAATCAGAAGTAAAGGTAAGTGTGCACATACTGATGTGTGGGTCAGGCTTGGAAAAAGGCCGGATCTGTTATGTATGAGTCCTGACTCAAGACCAAGTTTGGTGGTGGGTGGGATTTTTACAGACATGTAAGTATCTTAAAACATAAGGACTCACACCACCACCCCCAGCTCCTCCCCACCCCCATGTTTAAGGCTCTGTGACTCTTAAGACCAAGCAGTTTCCTTACATTTCACAAGCAGATCACCTACCCAGAGTTTTCTATCTAATATCCAAACAATCCCAATTCAAGGTCTCCAGTCAAGTCACAATGAACTGAACGTTTCTTCCCTGAGGGTAAACAGGAAGTATAATCTTCAATCCTAGCCCTAGGTTATCAGGAAAAACAGTGGATTCAAACAGTCACCTAAAATCAAGACACTATGAAAAAGCCCTCCTTGGGTTCCTGCTCATAAAAAGCCCCCAACGGCTGGAGCCAAGACCCCCTGTTACAAACAGACCCCAAATGTTCGCCAAACTCTTTATACATGGTCACAGAAATGGATTGCTTTACTTACCCAACAAATGTTCAAGCAACCGTCTCATTTTTCCACAGTTAAGAAGAGAGAACAGGCTGGCAGATTTGGGACTTGATCAAAAAGGAAATTTTTTTAAACAGTTACACGGGATTATTAAAAACACACACACAACAACAACACAACCCAACCACTGAATATGGAATGCTGTCATGAGCCACAGACGTGATTTTATTTCCTCTGCACTCTATCACACAGGAGGACAGAGGATGACACAATGTAAAAAAAAAAAGGGAAAGGAAAATGAAAACAAGGAGAAAAGATACATGAGTCCACTGAAAACCATGCAAGAGGAGAAAACTAAGGGATTCAAAAAAAGACTCCTCAGATTTATTGCAGGATGTTGTCCAACATCTCTCCCCCCCCCCCCCCCCTACCCCCCCCCCCCCGCCCCCCATCCCCATCCCTACTCCAAAAACTTCCTCCAAAGCCTAGAAAACACTTTCAGAAACATTTGCTGGCTGCAGGCTGGCTTTGCAGAAGAACACTCTGTATCAATAGAAGTCAGGAAAAAAGGCTGAACAATGTAGTTTCAAGTGAAGAAACCCTGTAGGAAGAGAAAAGACCATGGGGAGTCACCACCACCCACCTAGGCCCCAGGAGCTAGGATCTGTCCTTAGCACTGCTCTGCTGAGGGCTTGGTTCTTTTGCAAACACACGTCCTCTCTGGTCAGAACTGAGTCCAGCCTTCCCAGCACCTCTTTGGAGAGGTGAACTTGCCTGCTTTGCTGTCTGCCATGAGCTCTCCTTGGAGGGGAGCCTGCTTGCTTACCTTCCATTTTCTTCCCCCAGCAGGCATGTGACACAAGAGAAGACAAGAGTGCAAGGGGGAGGGGGGGGAACTGCTCAGAGAAAGAGAGAGAGAGGGAGAGAAAGAGAGGAAGGAGGGGGGAGGAAAAAGAAAAAAAAAGCTTCTTTTTTGGCAATACCAGGATCTAGCTTCACACTCTTCTAGAAACACCATGTCCTGGTGGAAGAAAAGGTGTGCCAGGCCCTTGCCAGTTTGCAAAACCGAGCTCTGGCTAATGGCTACTTAGCCATGTGACCCAAGAAAGCAAAAAAAAAAAAAAAAAAAATCTCTCTAAACAGTTCCAAGTTAACCTAAGTGCTGTAGGGGTGACTGTGGCACAGCCAGCCACAGAGAAATCACACTGCTCGCCCACAATGCGGATGTCTCAGAGGGAGGGGGAGAAAAGATGGTTAAAAAGTCGAGCTTACCTCTGTGGATGCATTGTTAACACTGTGTAATGTCAATACTTATAAAACATGGAGGACAGGCTCCTAGTTCTCACAGAAAAAGGGTTTGGCACTTCGGCTTGATGATCTGGCCGCCTAATAAAAGCTCATCCCCGATTGGCTGCCCCGGCAAATCGGAGTGTAAGGCGGCCCCGGATTGGCTGAAACACTTCCTGAGCGATTATCTTTGTGAGGCTCTGGTGAGCAAGAGCCATCCTGTGCATAGAAAAAGACAGGCTAAGCTAGGCCTTTTGCAGCAAGAAAAACTTAGGAAAGGGGCCCGCAGTCGCCCTTCTCCCACACCCTGGCTAGATTTCGCGGCACGAGCAAACCAGTGCAGCCAGCCTGACCTGCTCCAGCAAAGCCTGAGGCCCAGAGGCCACAGGCAAGAGAGTTTTGGGGGTGAGCTGCAAGGGCTCACCCTCATCTGCCCCCACGGAAACGGCCCTCTCGCTGGGAGGAAGGCTGGCTCTTTTCTAGAACAATCCAGCAGAATGTGCTCCCCACCACCCGCGGGGGGCGGGGAAGTGAAGCCAAAGAGCAGGGAGGCCCGGGAAAACAGCCCAGGGGGCAAGAGAAAGAAGAAGCTGGAGCCAGGCCTCTGAGGCAAACCGGACGGGCCAGGCGAGCCCCCCAAGACACTCCAGGGCAGCCCTGGCTTCCCAGAGGACAGAGCACTCGGGCTGAGAGGGGAGGAGGGGAACCAAGTGGTCAAGTTTGCATCGTCATTATCAAAATGCCTCCTGGACAAAGCAGACCAGACAGCCACTTGCCTGCCCCAGCCCAGAATCGAACCTGTCATCACCCCACCACCCCCAGCCAGAACTCAGAGGAAAGCAAAATGGGTTCCTGCCTCCCTGCCAGGATGCCAGGGGGCCCCCCTCCCCATCCTTACCCTAAGAAAAGCCAAAGGCGCTCCTAGCAGGCCACATGCCTAGCTCTACAAACTTCCCTTCCCCTCCCAGCCCCCTCCCCCAGCGCTGAGGCCTGCTAAACCTGTCAGTTAAACAAAAATCTGACTTCCGTATTAGTCTGCGATGGCTTCAGCTTCCTGCCTATTAACCCTCTCTCAGACTCTGGGCCTGGCTGGGAAAAACTAGGCCCTGAGAGCACAGAAAAGGCCTGTGGAAAAATACCAGCGGCAGCTCTCCCGGCAGATGCAGAAAGAGAGAGAGAGAGAGAGAGAGAGAGAGAGAGAGCCGCTGTCTCTCGCCTTGGCTTCCCAAGGAGGCGTGTACCTTCTGAATCCAGGGCACAGGCAGTGCCTCTCGGGCTGAGAAGCCATTTAAATCCAGAGGGAGAAAGAAAGATGTCAAACTCAGCCAGGGAACAAGAACCCCCATTATTAGTCAGGCCTACACCCACTGCTTAGACCTTCCTGCCACACAACCAGCCCTGTAAGGATGTTCCTGGGAAACTGGGCCCTCGGTGGCAGAAAATCCCATGAGCTTTGTAAGGACTCTTGCTTAAATTTATTTCCACAGAGAATGGCTTCTTCGGGTCCCCAAAGGCAGGTGGAACAGCTATTTCACACACAGCTCTACCCCACCCCCATCTCTCTGGCACTGCTCCCCAGTAAAATATTAACTACTGTTGCAGAACTGCTTATAATTCCACCCATTTCAATAGTATTAGGAGGTCTTTGCCTGTTTCCTCCGTCAGGCTGCCTTGGTTGTGGGTCTGTAGCCTGAGAAAGAAAAAGCAAATCCAGAAGGATCTTAAAGCATCCGTGCTCACTTGCTGATGCTTTTTTTTTTTTTTTTTAAAGACAAGGTGCTTAATTAGCAAGGTTTTTTTTTAAAACAGCAAGCGGGAACAACAGAAGCCAAATAAAACACCATTCTTTAGAGGCTGGAGAAAGCTTCCAGAGGTGACACAGCCATATGCCAGGAGGTAAAACTATGGCCCAATAAAGTCTCCCCTTCTCCTCCTAAAATTAGGACTCGTGGGCTTTCTCATCCCACACGGTTCGTTGCCACAAAGAAAACGGTGGAGCTGAGGCCCTGCTCACCCTGCCCACCCCCACGTGGACAACAGATGCCCACAGTGTGTACATAAATTCCTCCTGGCTGGGAACTTGTCTCAAACAGGAGCAAGGCAGGAACGCAAGCACACTGTACCACAGGGGCAGGGCCCAGGCTCTAGGAAAAGGCAGAGGGTTCTGTAGCCGCTGTTGCTGAATTTTAGGCTGAGGAGGCCGGGACGCAGGGAGGGACACTCGGTGGCCTGACAGGGGTCCAGCATTCAGGACAACAGGCCTGGGCCTCACCAGAAGGGAGGGGCCACCTCTTCCTGGGGGTGGAACCGTGTACGGGGAGACCAAACGGGGGACAGGAGGTCAGAGTTAATCAGACTGCGCTCTCCCTCCCGGCAGTGCGGGGCAGTGGCCGGGCACCACCATGCTATAAGGGATACTGTTTGTGTCTGTTGGTGCTGCTTTGGGGAGGACAAATAGCATGAGTTTGTGGCGGATCTCGCGTACAACTACCTGACCAAGCCCACGAGGAAATAAAATACGGCGCTGGTTGGTGTGTTGGATTTTAGCCCCGGATTAAAGCCGGTTGCATAAGCAACTGCAGCATCCTCCCCCTCCCTCTCTCCCCTCCCCTCCCTCTCTCCCTCCTCCCTCTCTCCCTCCCCCTGATCACTTGATCACTTGAAATGTTTTCTGGGGCAAAGAGCAGGAAGCTGCCGGCTTATTCTGGCAGCTCTGCTCTGTTTGAGGAATGCTGTTGGCATTCGGGTAGGTCTGAGGTTATCTAGAAAACAGCAATTCGGCTGGGGACAGAGACAAAGGTATGGTGGCAGATGGAATCCTGGGAGGGACACGGATTGAAAAAGGCTGCCCAAGGCAGGCCTACTAAGGGCCAATCCTGGGTTTGATGGAATGTGGCTGATAAGCAGGGAATAAAGAAAACCAAATGCTGCTGGCCTCAATCTAGAGATTGCCCCTCTCGAACCCCCGCTGCAGAGTAGTCCCAGCAGCTTCTGCATGCCTGGCACTGGCTAAATCAGCACTTTACACAGACTGACTCCATGAGGTAGGGAGTATTGTTAGAGAGCTGGAACTGAGCCCAGAGAGGTGAAGTGAGCTGCCCAAGGTCACACAGCAAGCCAGTGCCAGAGGTCAGACTTCCAATCCAGCGATGACTCCACATCCCTAAACCCTGTACTTTTGCCTGCCTCTAAAGAAAGAAATGAGAAGCCGAACCCAGCAGAGCAGAAACAAGGCTAAAATCTACTACCGGCAACTGCATGAACTGTGTTTTCTTTTAGGAGTTGGACTCCTTCAGCAATGTTTTAAGTACTGAATGATGAACCTGGGAGATCTTTAGATCAGGATCATTCAAAGGCCCAGAGAAAGCTCCTCTCTCCCTACAAACCTCCAGCAAGATATCGAGGGGGACACGTTGCCATCTCTAAAATCAGGAATATAAAAATTCCTTGAAATCAGTGGTTCTCAACCAGGGGTGGTTTTGCCCCCCCAGGGGATAGATGGCAATGTTTGGAGACTTTTGGGTCGTCACAACTTGGGGGAGAGAGGTGCTATTGGCACCTACTGGGTAGAGACCTGGGATGCTGCTAAACGTCCTACCGCACACGGGACAGCCCCCAGCAAGGAATTATGTGATCTAAACGTCCACTGTGCCGAGGTGGGAAACCTTGGCTTCAGTGAAAGGAAAACAATCCGACCATTGTGCCTCTGGATAGCAAAGCCAGCACAGGGCCTAAATAAGCAGGTTCCGTGGTGATATGAATAAGCCATGAGCTCATAAAAATAGATGAATACGTGTCTCTCAATATTTCCAGGAGTCAGAGAGAATCTGGGGATAGAATCTGTCTGAAGGAAGCCAGACAGAGTGTCTCAGCGATAAAGCTGGCCTCCAAGGAGAGCAAAGGGCTGACCCCAGCCCCCCTTCCCCAGGCATCTTACTGGCCGAGGCCTGGCCCCGCTGAAATGGCCCGCAGCCAGACCAGCAGCAAGAGCGGCAGCCTCGGCAAGCTGCATCCCGAGATACTCTGTTCTGCTGACTATGAAAATAAGCACACTTGGAGTTATCTGCCTTCAGCGAGCAACAGGCCTCTCTGTCCGTTACGTGAAACGGCCGGGACTGAGGCCGGGAAGTGTCTTAAATATCTTGTTTTGTTTTGTTTCCTTTTGGCCAGTTGGAACCGAGGCCAACTTCGGGCACGGTGACAGAAGGGCTCACCTTCAGAGCACGGAGCTGACCGAGTCATGTTACAGCCACAAAGAGGCAGTTAGGACTCGTCCCTGCCTTGGAGAAGAGGTGTCCTCTAGAAGTTTGTTTTTATTTTGTTTTGTTTTTTTCTTCTTCCTAGGAGGGACTGGCAGGATTACGCTAATGGAGAAAGGAGGGAAGGAAGGGCAGGTGGAAAGAGGGGAGGAGATGGTACTTGACCATCAAGCAGATGGCGGCAGTGTGGGTGGGAAGAGATGTAAGTGACGCAAGAAAACACAAATCAAAAGGAAGAAGAGGGACTCCCCTGGCAGTCCAGTGGTTAAGACTCCGCGTTTCCACTGCAGGAGGCGCAGATTCGATCTGTAGCCTGGGAACTAAGATCCCACGAGCTACGTGGCGCAGCCAAAAAAAAAAAAAAAAAGATTCGGGACCTCCCCTGACCTGCTTTTTTTATATCCTAGCAATTACCATTATGGAAAGAAGCTCACGTATTTATTTGCTCTGTTTGTTTCTGTCTCCCACTAGACCAGAGCCGGTGTCTGGAGACATTTTAGGTTGTCACATCTGGAGGAGGGGTTGGGGGGTGTTACTGGCATCGAGAGGGTGAGAATCAGGGATGCTGCTAGATTCCTGACCGTGCACAGGACAGGCCCCCACAGCAGAGAGCTAGCCAGCCCCAAATGTCACCAGGGCCGAGGCTGAGAAACCCTGCATTAGCCTGAGACCTTCAACAAGGCAAAACCTGGTCTGAATCCTTCACCATTGTGCCCTCAGTCTAACACGGTGACCGATATGTATTAGAGCTCAATTAAACATCTCCCACCTGGGTGGTTGCACCTTTCTCCTACCTGAGTCCCCTGCTTCTGCCCTTGCAAACGTGTGTGTGTGCGCGCACACACACACACACACACACACATACACACAGAGGCAGCCAGGAATCCTTGTAAAACAAGTCAGATCTGGGATTCCTGGGTGGCGCAGTGGTTAAGAATCTGCCTGCCAATGCGGAAGACACAGCTTCTAAGCCCTGGTCCGGGAAGATCCCACATACCAGGGAGCAACTAAGCCCGTGTGCTACAACTGAGCCTGTGTTCTACAGCCCGAGAGCCACAACTACTAAAGCCTCGAGCCTAGAGCCCGTGCTCCGCAACAAGAGAAGCCACTGCAATGAGAAGCCCGCGCAACCCAACGAAGACCCAATGCAGCCAAAAGTCAATAAAGAAATAATTTTTTTTTAAGTTGTGGTTTTAAAAAAAAACGAAAAAACTCTCCAAGGAGGATAATGATAAATACTGATAGCTACCATGTTCCAAGTACTGTGTCAAGTACTGTTAGAAGCAACTTATGTGAACTAACCCATTTACCTTCAGAACTCTGTAAGGTGGGCACCATTAGAATTGATGATCAATTTCAATCCCATTTGCTAGGTGATGAAACTCAGGTAGGAACTATTAACAGTACAATTCTACTAGGAAAACTTCTCTTCCAGTCTCTTCTGCCTCACTACTCACCACTCCTTAATGCCTTTCAATTAACTATTTACTCAGAAATCACCATGCCAACAGTAAGGGAGTAATTAGAGACTTCCCTGGTGGTCCAGTGGTTAAGGCTCTGCGCTTCAAATACAGGGGCCACGGGTTCGATCCCTGGTCAGGGAACTAAGATCCCACATGCCACATGGCACGGCCAAAAAAAAAAAAAGATAATAAGGGAGTGATTAAATAAACATGGTCCTGCTACACAACAGAATACTATACAGCTGTGAAAAAAGAATCTGGGACTAAAAAAAACAAAACAGAAACAGACTCAGATACAGAGAGCAAACTGGTGGTTGCCAGAGGGAAGGGGGATGGGGGTTGGAAAAACAGGTGAAGGGGATTAAGAGGTACACCCTCCCATTTATAAAATAAGTCACAGAGGGCTTCCCTGGTGGCGCAGTGGTTGAGAGTCCGCCTGCTGATGCAGGAGACACGGGTTCGTGCCCCAGTCCGGGAAGATCCCACATGCCGCAGAGCGGCTGGGCTCGTGAGCCATGGCCACTGAGCCTGCGCGTCCGGAGCCTGTGCTCTACAACGGGAGAGGCCACAACAGTGAGAGGCCCGCGTAAAAAAAATAAGAAATAAAAATAAGTCACAGAGATGTAGCATACAGCATAGGAAATATAGTCAATAATTGTGCCATAACTTTGTATGGTGACAAATTGTAACTAGACTTACCGTGATGATCAATTCACAATGCATATAAATGTTGAATCACTGTGTTGTACATCTAAAACTAGTAAAATATTGTATGTCAACCATACTGCAATAAAAATAATCATAAATGACTTTTTTTGGCAGGTTTTTTTTTTTTTTTTTTTTTGGCCAGGCCACACGGCTTGTGGAATCTTAGTTCCTCAACCAGGGCTTGAAGCCGGGCCACCGCAGTGAAAGTGCTGAGTCCTAACCACTGGATGACCAGGGAATTCCCGGGTTTTTTTAATCTTAAAAAAAAGAATCTGGGAGCCCTTTTGTGGAACAATCTCTAAGACATATTGTTGAGTTTAAAAAACACAAGAACAGAACATGGAATGTAATGTCATTTGTTTTTCTTAAATAGAGAAACCTGTGTGTATCTATCTTTTTCTTAACACGTTTGCTTATTATGCACAAAATCTCTTGGAAGCATACTTAAGAAATTGCTAGCAATGTTTGCCTCTAAGGGGTCCTGGGTGTCTGGGGGTCAGGAGGGGGGAGGAGACTTCATATCTTTTTTTTCTTAATTGAAGTATAGTTGATTTACAATGTTGTGTTCACCATTATAACTTTTGAATTTCAACCATGCGAATATATTACTTCTTAAAAAATAAATTAATAAATGTAATATTAGGAAAATTGTGAAAGATTGGGAAATGGGCAAAAAAAGATTAACATGTAGCTTGTGGAGCTTCCCCATTAGGTTACCTGCACCCGTTCAGTGTTCTGGAGCTATTTACAACTCTGTAACTTGTAGAAGATGAATAGTTATGCAAATGACTCTTCTCCATAGAAATGCAAATGTAATCCCCTGGAATGCAATTGATTATTGCCTGGTGGATACTGAACTAAGTTTTTGCCAGTTTTTGCATCTATTTGTAAATTCAGCATTCCTTCCTTAGGCTTGCAGTACTTTGAATCCACCTTTGAATTGATCATAACACCTTACAAGTACCCTCATTAATAGTGAGTGAGACAAAATCTCTGATGTGTTCATTTTATATTTGTATTATTTTTGAGCAGTAATATTTTTTTTTTTTCTTTTCTTTGCAGTATGCAGGCCTCTCACTGTTGTGGCCTCTCCCGTTGCGGAGCACAGGCTCCAGACGCGCAGGCTCACAGCGGCCATGGCTCACGAGCCCAGCCGCTCCGCCGCATGTGGGATCTTCCCAGGCCGGGGCACGAACCCGTGTCCCCTGCATCAGCCGGCAGACTCTCAACCACTGCGCCACCAGGGAAGCCCCGAGCAGTAATTTTTTAAAAGTCATCACTGCCCTCCAAGAATCTACTTCAACAAGCCTAGTTAGTACTGGGTCCACTTGACCTCTTGCTAACGTTTGATGCTGGACATTTCCGAGTTTACAAACCACTGCTCCTCCCAGCAACCAGCTCTCCATCTGCATTGACACCTCTAACTCCAGACTCTGCTCTGTCTTTCTAGCCAACGATGCTCCTCATCTGGGCTCCGGAGCCAGCCTGTTGGGGGGGAAGGGGTCCATTCCGAGATTCCTCCCTTCCTACCTACAGAACTTGAGCAAGTTATTTCATGTTTTTGCGCCTCTGGTTCCAAGTCTGTGAAGTGGGGATTATAGTCCTCGCCTAAGAGACATTGTGAGGGTTATTTAACACAGACACAGCATGCGGGCTCAAGAAATGTTAGATGTTTTTTCTTTCCTCGAAACCTTTTCATGCAGTCATTTCATCTGCTGCCACAGGAGATTCCAAATCTAACTACCCAGATCCAACCTCTCCCCTGGGCAGGGATCTTCTTGCTATGGATCCAGGTGGTCTACAAATATGCAGGGAGCCCTTTTTGTACCTCTAAGATTTATTGTCTGTTGCTCCTGTCTTCAAGGAGCTGACAGCTGAGCAGAAGAGGTAATGAGCTATTAAATAAATATATGAATAACATAAAATATCAAATTATGAATGTTATGAAGAAAAAACAAAGCAGGGTGAGGGTATAGGGAAGTGACAGGATGGGGGGGATCTGCTTTAGACAGGTGGGGGAAGGCTTCCAGTGAGGCTGTGACATAGCAGCTGAAGAAGGAGCCTTCCAGGTGGAGCTGGCAGCAAATAAAAAGGCCCTGAGGCAGGCCTGAGCTTGGGAGCTTGGTGTTTCAGAGGAACAAAAGAAGTCCAAGTGCGGCTGCAGTACTTGAGCATGGAGAAGTGAGACACAGGCTCACTACTTCCTCTGTCATCCTTCCGTTACTCAGATGCAAAATCTTCCAGAACACTCTTTACCCTTCCACACATACTCACACACCCACACCTTGTGCACACCATCTCCAAGTCTACCCCAAATGAGAAACCCCTGGAACATGTACACTCAGGACCTGAGCTACTTGGGACTATGTCTGTCACTGTCTAGTGACAAAACCCCAAGTAATTTCCATAACTCTCTACACCTGGCTCTCTACCTATAAAACAGGAACAGTACTTCCTATCTCAAAAAGTTGTACTGAACAGTAAATGAATTAAAGGATATGAAGGGATAAATTAGGAGTTTGGGATTGTCAGATACAAACTACTATATATAAAATAGATAGGGACCTCCCTGGCGGCCCAGTGGTTAGCTTTCACTGCAGCGAGCACGGGTTCCATCACTGGTCGGGGAACCAAGATCCCACATGCCAAAAAGAAACAAATAAAATAAATAAAATACATAAACAACAAGGTCCTACTGTATAACACAAGGAACTATATTCAATGTCTTGTAATAACCTATAATGAAAAAGAATATATATATGTATAACTGAATCGTGTTGCTGTTATTAACCAGAAACTAACACAACCTTGTAAATCAACTATCCTTCAACTCTAAAAAATTGATTA